GCCGATCGCTACATATATATATATACGTATACATATATACCTATACGCGTACAGTATAGTTGTGTGTCCGACTGCGACTTTTAATTAAACGAGCACAACAAACGACGGGCGAGTTCAAACGAGTACTCTCGGTCCTTGGACACGGATGAGCGTATTATTTCGTGAGGTAGACGAAGCTGCAGGTATACGGCGAGCACAGACGCACAGGGACGGGCCGTCGTCATCATATACGCTGTCGGTACAGAAGTGGTGACTTTAATACGTATTGTATAAAACATTCCAAGTTTGTATGAGATATGAGTATAAAATATCGTATATATTTATTTTCGTCATACCTACGCCAAGCGCTAGCGATTCAAGTTTGAATCACCAATTCGTTCCGCTCTGAACGGAATAATGAAATTAGCGGTAGTCAGTATATTTTTAGTATAATATTATTGCACGTACCATTATACATCGGTTATACCTCAAAGGAGAGTTGAGCAAGTAAAGTAAAACAAAATCCACTTTTATTTATCGTTTATACTTTATAACGTTAAATACGTACAGTTCAATATTATACTTTAATTTATTATTCAAATATACAGGAAACCGTTTTCGTGATTCGTTTTTCTCCGCAAACAGATTTTCTTCGCCCACCCACGACGCTTACAGAATCGACGTTATTATTTTACTAGACGTCGTAAGTGTGCAGATTCCGAAAATGCCTTACACCGTTGCAACAAAACCCTCTTAGTGGAGCTGTGTGAAGTATCGACTTACACACATTACACACGGTGTAGGTACACTGCACCTATATAATATATGTATGTATATATCGTCTTCAATATGAGGTGGAAATTAGATTTGTAGCTCGACTAAACGGCCGAGGGATCGTGCCGACGTCTTCCCCTTCTGCACTTTGCAAGTATACGTGTATACATATTATTATTATATACACACGTATATACATACCAACTCCGACCGACGACGGTTAAGACTCGCCCGGCGCGCGTGACAATATTTACACGTAGGTACCAGCTATATGTATACATATATTATATAAATATATGCGTGTGGAACGAGGGGTTACGTTAACTGCAGAGAGAAGCAAGTATATAAGGGGCGAACGAGCGAACAATATTCTTCTTTTTTCCCCCCCGTCATCATCTTTACAATATGTTAAAAAATAAATAATAAAAAGTATAAAAAGCTCGTGAAACTTGTGTACACAACTGCCGCTGCAGCGGAGTGTGTGTCTGTACAATATACAAACTTTATTCGTATACCTTTATTGTATAGAGTGATGTGTAGAATACATATATAGATTATAGTTACATACTGGATGTCATCAGTGTTTGTCGTCTTACGCACTGTAGCACACACCAGCCCGCCCTCTTGACTAAATTATGCTGAACATGCACTTATATATAGGCAATAGGTATCTATATTTATAATTTAATTCCTCTATGTAATAAATACCTCTGCCTATTATACTATCTAAAATCGGTAACGCAGTCAACTAAAAATACGACGAATAGGAACCTGTATTTATTATATACTGAACTTTTAATCATTTTCATACGGACAAGCTGTTCTGTGTAATATATATTACTTTATTGTACCTATTGGGTATATTATTTTATCACTTGATGATATACCTCACAAACTCAAGAATGAAATAATTGTGTTTTTTTAAATGCCTGTAGATAGACAAAAAAACATACCAACTTTCTAATAACTGTGAATAATAAAACACCTACATTTTTCGAAATAAATAAAATTGATGGGGAATCACACTACGTGGTGAAACATCCTGTACATAATGTACTATGTACAAATACATATATAACGCAATATATATGCGCCGCCTGTCATCGCTTACGCACAAAAGTAGAAATCGTATTTGGACGGTTTTGTATTTTCTTTTTACCGTATTTGTTAGGTGCGTACCTATATTTACACGTACGGCTTACCCGTGTCGGACATAAATGTGTATACTTGCACACATATGCGTTTGCAAAGTTCGAAACTGCATTATTATTATTATTATTATTATTATTACTGTAACGGTGCGGCACACGTGTGCGCAGTTAAGAATAATAATAATAAAACCCGCGAGACGTAGAACGCACAGTCGAATTGTTTTCTTTTTGTTTTGTAATTTTTTTTTTTCTTTTCGTTTTTGTTTCGTATTTTTTTCGCTTAACGTTTTCCTTGGGCTTGTCAAAATTCGACTGGCATCACCGTACACTCGACCCGAGCCTGTCGGTATAGTATTTTATAAAATAAATATCTTGATTTTATCGTTTTCATTTTCGATCGTCATTTCAACTATAGTGTAGCGTAGAGCCATAGACATATCTTAAGGCCTTATACGTGCGAAAACGGCATCACGAAGGACCGCCGGCGGAAGAGACATTATTTTTATATCCGCGACCGATGTCTATAATGACTATTAATAAACACTGCATAAGATGAGTGTGGACTTTTGGAACCGTACCACGAAGTAACGCAATGGTCATAGTAATAATATTAAACACGTGCGAAAAAAAATCTCCAAAATCGCAGTTCGGCTCATAATTATTAAGAAATATTTTGGGGTGCGGGCGTCGACGGCGATGCACCCACCACACATGATTATTGCATAACACCGTGCACGCGATAGTAATATAACATTCATATTATTATTATTATTATTATTACGTAATATTATAATAATATGTTACTCCCAGCGGTATCTGGTGGAGCCCTGCTACCGCCGCCACGTGTGGTTACCGTCGTCTATTTTCCCGTTAGATTTCGCCTACTCTTCTCTATACACAATAGTCGTTCTAGCAGTGCTGGCGAAATCCTTTGAAAACCGACTTCGATTTAAGCCAAGTTCGTTTTAATGACCGAATGTGTTGTTTTTTTTTCGCTACTCGTTTGTCGTCGAACCATCTGACGCCCGACCCTTCGGGAAATACAATTCACGAGGACCACGCACCCCACCCCTCCTTATACTTCATATTATTATAAGCACATCACTACTATAATAAATACAATTAACGATGTCTGCCAACACCGTCTCCCGCTGCAGTGTCTACGAACTTTTTGTAAAAGTTTAACAGTTGGCGAAAAACCAATCGTTAAACAATATTATATCAATACACATGACACTGTATTATTATGACGCTTTACCGAAGGTACTGTAGCTATCGCACTCATTGTTATACGCGGGTATACAAAAAAAAATATTAAACCTTTTTACAGTCAAGCTATTTACAGCTATTTTGATACATACTATAATACTGCGAAACATTAATTTTATTATATAGTATGTATTATAAAAATCTATTCCTTATGATTTATTGTAACAATATAACGTAATTATTGTATAAAGTTTAACGTAAAGTTGATTTTAAGTATTAATTTTTAAACAAATTGATCGCTAGTCATACCTGTAAATTATGCGAACATTCTTCTTCTTGATCTTTTAATTTTGAAAGATATTTTTAATTTATTTCTAATATATTTTTCTTTTCTACGACGATTTTTATTCTAAGACCGATTTGATTTACTTTCAAACTCGATTACTAAAACAATTCTTCATATTATATTTTGTCTACTAACATTTTTATTTTTAATGAATAAGTGTTCTGCTATTTTAATTATTTGTTCATATTATGCTACTGTAGAGGATTATGAATCACGAAAACACATTTATACATTAGAGTAATCAACTCTAAGAGCGGTTTATATTATGAATGCTACAGAAATAAAATACATGAAATCATTTGTAGATAAACAATATAAGCAACTATTGTATATTATATATCTATTACCTACACAGTAAGTTATTTGGATAAATGTCCTGTGTATACACATTTATATTATATTCATATAACTATTTTAATATGTCAAAAACCGAAAGTATATGAAAGCCGAAATCAACCTTTCGTATTTAAACTACGTTAGTCTTTTGAAATTTTGTTTTTCTTTGTTGCAACTTGCAATAAACTATTAGTACAAAGTGCTTTAAGTTTAAAATGCTTATATAAAAACTAATTAACTTTAAAAAAAAATTGATAAATATCGTAAAACAACTAAAAAAATGTGAGAGTCTATTTATAATATTTGATGTATACTTACTAAATCTCAACTAAATTATAATTGTGTTTATTATAACTAAACTTTAAGCAATTTGACTTATAAATGATACTCAGTTTTGAATAAAGGATGAATAGAAATTATTATTTATTTATTACAATAACATTACTTTGGTTCAAGAATACTTAATGAATCACTCAGTTATTAAATTGTATTACACATAGTGCCATAAATAAGAATATTAAAATGTTTAAGACATAGTATAGTGTACGCATATACCTATTAATGATTATGGAATTATTATTAATAAATTGAACTATTTTTAAAGAAATATATTTTATCTATCTATATATAAGAAGGTGTATTTAAACATTATTCTAGAATATTATTTTTGTTTTCCACAACTTTATAATCTTTACAATGAAACTTCATCACAATTCACCTTTATAATCTTAACTATATTAAGTTGAAAACTTAAATGTTTGTTTTTTAGTTAAACGTTAATAGTAATATATAACAAGAATATGTATATGTATCTACCTACAACTTACTGTTATACAAATATACTAACACACTATTTGTTAATGCTATATTCAAGTTAAAAGGAAAAAAAAATTTGAATTTCAATATTGTTATAAATATAGGGCATGGGTCTTTACTATTTGATTTAATTACGATTCAAGTAAGAGTTTAATACTAAATTTGATTGTCAATACTAATAACTATATAAGTATTAATGATGGACTCTTATAAATTTTAACCGTACCCGAAGTAGAACAAATTATTATAAGATAAAATGGAATTTTACTGTACAAAGTAACTGTTTAAATAAATATACACATTCAAAAAAATTAAAATCATTTGATTAGAAAAATAATAATTTGTTTGGGACATTTTATAGTAACTTTAAAATAAAAAAGCTTGTTTACCTGATAATTTTAACGGCAATTCTGCAATTCTATTGGGATCCAGTGGCGTACCAAACGGGAAAGGCCTAGGTCCAAAGTGGAAGGGATGGAACCCTTGGTTTCCTGCAAACGAGTTAAATAATAGGCCTAATACCCAATTTAATTTGATAATTTATCAAGCATAAGTGTGCATTAATTTACTCACTGGTTTTCGACCTCGGCTCTCTGGGACCGTCCACTGTGACTTTGATTGCTTTGGAATAAGTGGCTACTTGCGGTGGACACGAATTCAACATTATAGTCAGCGTAAAACTTTTTCCTGGAAATAACAAAACTTTCATCGTAAAAAAAAAAAACAAGAAACAGTAGTGTACTACTCTGTGTTGGTTAAATATTCAAACGTCAAATTGTAATCATGATTTTATAAAAAATAAATATATAATACAATACATATTATAAGATATTGTTTCATGAGTATTGGTGATGTATTTTAACCTTATGGACTATAATCTATTTTGTGCAACATTTTTTTATTAAGTCCAATTTCCTGGAATCCCTTCCAAATTTAATCAAATACATATCCTTCTACAATCCCACTAATATTTTACTTCAATAATGAGTTATTCTATATTCCTTTTAAATTGCATGGTTATATAGTAATTATACCTAGTATGATTAAATATAGGTAAGTACAACATGAAATGTTCCAAGTATTTCACTGTTTTACTGACAAACACAATAAATATAACCAAAAATAACAATATAATATCATTGTAACTGTGTGATGAACATAAGTCGAGAAGATTTGCTGTACTAAACGACTGTTTTTGTTGAATAAATTGATATTTTTATACCAATTATTTTATCATGGCCATGTTATGAGAAAACCATGTATTGACAGAAATAAATGATAAAAGCATTTATAGCAAAAATGTCAATACGTAGGCAACTCGATTTCTTTGTATTTTGTTTCATAGCAGAACTGAAGTAGTGGGCTCTAAATGATCTAGCACATCATTCTCAAGTTCATAAATAGCACACTTATTGATATATAATTTTATCTCCGATTTAATTCGGGATTTACACATTCAAATCCATATTATAGCACGTAATGTACATATATAGTACATATTGAGTCAAGAACTCAAACAAATTAATTACTTCATAACCATGAAATTATAAAGATAAACAAATTTGGTTTTGAGGCAGGTACCAATATAAAAGTATAAAACGAACTCGTATTCATCTTTAAGGTTTATGAAAGTCCTTACTTATTTCTCAACTGCTGAAAATATAATAAACGTTTCACAAATTATAAAAATCTTAGGACACCGAGCCCCACTCGGTCTGACGTTTATGGGATAGGTATAATTCAAAGTAGGTGTACTCAGTATACTAATAAATCTTAGTTAACCTAGACATCAGTAACAAGCAACAACAGTACAACACGTAGGTCTGTTTTTTGTCCTTAAATTGAATTATTTAATTTTTTTAATTGTTTCATATTTTAAATTTACGTATTAATGCCATTTAATGGTATTGAAAAAATAATACTCTTCGACGACTGTAAGGATATTAGAATAAGTAATTTATTGTTCCTTATTATAAATATTTTGTTTTTGTTTAAAGTGCTATTTTTTGTATGCAATTGATTATAATTATTACGTATAAGTTAGAACCAATACATACATTTTACAATTATTAATTTTTTTTATTCGTGTGATTTAAAACACTTTTTGTAGAATTGTAAAATTGTCAATCCATTATGATAGATTCCTGTTTTAAAATATTTACCACCCAGAGATAAACAAAATTAACTTTCATGTTGAAAAAAAAAATTTTCCTGAATTGTAAATTCATTTTAATCACACTGTCATATTAATTGATTATGGTAATTATATCACTTTCGATGTTTAATACATGGCTAAGGCATTATTATGTTATAATGATAATAGCGTAAGATAAATATGGTAAGGTACTCGTAGTGATAAATTAAAAAAATATTAAAGTATAATATTAAAAAGAGTGAATGTCGTTATAACTTATAAGATAATTAAAACAATGTCAATTTAAAAATAAATTGGGTACCCACTCAAAAGTAGCCGTTCTGGAAAAATCATCCAATAGCGTCTCCTAAATACGCCTCTCCTCGCTATAAGTCCTATGTAAAATAAGTTGAGATCCCGGTGTAAAGAAGAAAATCGCTACAGAAATTTGAATTAAAATAATTGGAAAAATTAAAAATTAAATTAATTTGTTTCTCAGTAAAATATTATCACATACAATGTACAACTTTAACAACAAAATATATTTACAAGTTATAAAATATGGCTATAAAACCAGAAGAAATTGTGTAACGTTCATTAATACATTTACTTTTTTAACGAATTTATACCAACTATAATATTATTAGTTTAATCAAAAATCATGTGGCATTGGAAAACAGTACCAATAATTAAACATTTAAGAGAAATTATTAATTTATATCTACACAAGGGAAAAAGGCATATTGTGGCAGTACAGTATTAATGTTGATCCCCAACTGAAAAAATAAATAAATACTGCACTGCAACCAGATACTTGAACCTTTAAATTGTATTGCAAATTTAAACGAGTAAACAATTTATTAATAATCGCGGTACAATGTTCTAACGATTAAAACGACTGTGCAGAGTTTTGGAAAAATGTATTCATAGAATTATTTTTTGGTAGTTCTGGAAAGTGTGTCAATAACATAAGAGTATGTCAAAAAAAAAATGATAATAATATATTATATACATTATAAATTATGTGTTTCAGGTATAAACTATCAAGTATTGGAAACTGCCATATTGAACATCCCAATCATTTTGTTCTTACTTAAAACTATTCAGTGATAACTGGCAAATAAAAGTAACATTATATTTAAATATCCTAAAACGTATGTTATTTTTAATTTATTATATTATATTTGACTTGATATAGCGAATCCAAAGATGAGTTTGCATTCCACACTAGCCATTTCCAAATACTGATCATCATCCTCAAGACCGCTGACCAGAACTGTGTGCATATCTTCAGGCACATCCCCTTATAATTTATAAAAAAAAGTAGTGGCAAATGTGTGATTCTTAAGGGGATTGATGGATGGGTAACTGATGCTCCTCTTCTCTTCAACTAATTAAATGTTGAAGTTTCTCCCTGTTTCACACGTTCCTTAGTTCTTTTTAATGTAGGTACCCACCCGTTCATATTACTTATTACGGTTGGAACCACCCTATCCAAATAATGATAGTTAGCTTTATTAATAATAAGCGACCACCCCACTAATTTTGTTTGTTTTTTTTTTATGTTTATGTTTACTGTATATTTATATTTTCATTAATTTATTTAAACTTTGTCGCTGTTGTTTGTTATAAATGTCATTCATTTATGAGTTGTGTATTATTAATTTATTAAATACCTACTTTTTTTATTAATATTATAAGATCTTGAACCATATAATATGGAGATTTTTGATCGTTAAATAAAAATTAATAATAATAATATTGTACACTATTAACAAATACAAGTTTGATTAAATTTTCGAAAACATATTTTGTACGTTATAGTACGAACGATAGTAGCAATTAATAATTGTTATAAAGTTGCAGTGTTAAATAATTATTATGATTGTCGTGGGGGAAAGACAAACGTGTTATTACCATTGCGCTTGTACCTACAAATTTACGTAGGTACTTATATAAATAAAGACAAACGGCAACACGTCCGAGAGATAAACATTAAACATAATAGAACGTGTGCAGCTTCATGGTTTTCGGCGGAAAACGCGTGATAATTGCGTGTAAACAACCATAAACCGACTTTAACTTTTCCCGGGAAATTAACCGACAAGGATCAATTATTGGGGTAAAGCGGCACGCCGCCGCGGAAGCAGCCACCGCCACCGCCGCCGGTCTCATTATTGCAGCCTCCTACAACTACTACTTCTCGCCGAGATGATTAAAACGGGAAGAAGGGTAAAGTTTTTAACGAAAGACGATTAATGCCACGAGTTCTCCGGCGTGCGTTGAAATTGCATAATATTATATACATTGTACTATATTAAAACGATCGTTTCGTCGGACTATACATAAAACTATACGAGCTCCGTTAATCTTTCACCGATAATATCTTAATATTGAAATATTTACGGTCCCGTCACCCGATTTCTTATTTGATAATATTATTATAACATAATAACGACATTATCGCCACCGCGTAAGCCCCAGTTTTCGGGATGCGATAAATTTCAGCGCACGCCAGATTTAAAAAAAAAACCGTGTTCTCACAGCCCTCCGGTTCACTTTAAAACGTGTATAATATGAGATGCTGACCCGGGGGAAGGAAAAGAGGGATAACGTCGAACGCCGAAAACTGGTAAGAGGGTGGAAGCGGAAAGGCACCGCCGCTGTTACGATTTACACGGCGTCGCGTAGGCCAATTTGTCATCATTGCTCGCGGGGTTAAAAAAAAAAAATCCTCGGGGATTGAAGCATGACGAAACGCCGAGCTCCGTTGTCCTTTTTATACGTATTTTTCTCTCTCCCCCCCGATACGCACATAATATAGCGCTGCACCCTCGCCGCCCCGCGACGTTATATTAAAACTCCGAAACGTTTAAGTCGGCATCGCGTATTTATTACCGTTTGATTCGCGACGCCTGTTGTATGTGTATATGACATAATATATACGTGTGTATATTGTTCGTTACGGTGTGTCATGTCGCATTCAATTCTCTCGACGAGGTGCCATTTGATCTTCTTAATATACGCGCCATCGGCCAAACGGGCTGTAATAAAGCGGATCGTTGGAACGGGTGTCACCTACACACTCTCTTGTACCCGTATTGCCTATATGATACGCCGGTTTACTGAACGATATTATTATTGCAACGCTATTATATGGGTTTTTTCCTCACTACGAGTCTCCGTCTCACCTCAGTACAGTCCTTATCCGAAAACCATTGTAATAGACACAAACAAAGTACGAAGTCAAAAATAAACGACAGCAGCAAATACGATCTACAGGACTTACAAGTTGAAACGATATTATTGAATACATCAACTATAACGTTGACGTACTCTAAAATGTACTATGCAACATACAAGTAATTTCAGCTTCCACCGTGATGTACAATAAACCTCGATTTCGGACTAAAAATCGTTTTTACATTAACTATGGTAAATTTTGCTGTGTACTGGTGATTCAATTTTTTGTTGTAAAAATTAACTGGAATTAAAAAATTGAACAGTAATTGGTAGCTAATTTGACCTCGAATAGGATTGGAATATACTTTCTGGTATATTTGTAATATATTCACTATGCATAGTATAGGATTAACTCATAAACAATATGGTGTACCACGTCTTTTAGTTAATCTAACTACCAAGATTTAGCCAATCACAGCGCCAACGTTTTATCTAATTTTTTTTTCAGAAATCTCATTATATAGGCACATGCTATGTCAGCTAATCAAAGTCATGACCACCACGATGGATTTAAACATATATAATCAAACTATCATAAAATAATATTTATAATTGTCGCGCTCACCTCGACCTGATCGACCGACGAACCGCAAATCGTTGAACTTGGCCACCTGGTTCTTCATCAGAGCTGTGCAGTTCCGCAGTTCCGCGCAAAAGTTTTCGTCGTTGCCGGCGCGTATGGTGACCGGCGTGCCGTCCGGCACCTCACCGAGCGCCACCACCTTGAAGGCAACCGGCAGCGTCTTGTTGGAACGCCAATGAGTAGGCAGCACGGTGCACACAACGTGCGGGCAACCGGTGCGGACCAGTTCGCCGGGGTGTTCAGCCAGGAGACTGTCCAGCGTCCTTTCTGCCAGCACGTCGGCCTTGAGGAAACCGTCGCGGTTCCTCATTGGAACCGACAGGTGCATGTTCGGTGACGAGACGGAAACGAAATAATCACGCGACGAGACGGGAAAAAAAACCGCGAATACTACGAAGACGTCAACGACGACGGTGGTGCGGCCGCTGCGGTGTGCGTGTCGTCGGGGACGGGCGGACCGGCGCGACTGACTGTTAAAAAAGCGTTTTTTTTTCGCGGCCGGTTCGTCGGTCGGAGGTTGCGGCCGCCGCGGAGCTTTGGTTTACCGCCGTTGGCCGCGAAAGAGGACGGGGCCGGCGGCGGAAGGTGTTCGCGCCCCGCCGTGGGCGGAGTTTGTTGCGTGCGTGCGTGTCTGTGCTCTGCGGAAGACCGCGCTGGCCCGGGTCGGCGGCGTTGGCGGTGGCGGTGGCGGCGACGGCGGTGGCGAGGCAATAAGAAACGGAAGAAGGAAAACGATACGCGACAGCGGTGACGGGGAATGGTGGTAGTGGCGTCGGCGGCGGTGGCGGCGGTGACGGCGGCGGCGGCGGTGGTAGTGTGTACGTATAATATAATATATATAAGAAAGAGTGCGCGGCGGGACGAGAAGAACGACGAGAAGAAGAAGAGGCGGGAGAAAAGAAAACGGGGGCGCAAAGAATGTCGGAAGAAAAAGAAAACGGCAGTCGGGGGCGGTAGCGGCGGCGGCTCAGGCAGTGCGGGGTGGTTACGCCGTCGTCGCGGCGGCGTGTGGCGTCCCGCCGACGAATGCTTAGCGGCGGCGGCGGCGGCCGTAGCCTGTTGATGACGGTGTGCACCCGCCGCCGCCGGAGTGAGCTCGTAACGTTTCAATTACCTTCCACCCCTCCGCCACTGCAGCAGCGTCTCGGACTGTTCGACTTCTTCGTCGTCACGTGGACCGTGCAAAAGCCGATCCGACCAGCAGCTATATGTAAGGTTTTTATTTTTCCCGTTTTTTTTTCGTTTTTTTCCTTCTCCGCTCTTTTTTATTTTACCGTCTATACCCGCCGACAACATAATTATGAGGTAGGTACACATTATTATTATTGTTATTATTTTACCTTCGGTGTGCGCGAAGTATAATATAATATTCTGTATGTATATATAGGTAGGTATATTTATTTTAGTTACAGTTTCTCATAATATTGTATTAGCTATAATCAAATATCAATGGCCCATATTAAATACTAGATGTTTCGACAAATTAAATAATGACAGTGTATAATTTACCTCTTCTAAAGCTCAGCTAACTTCAAACTGCACAGATTTTTAACAATTTCACACAGTTATTTGGGTCGATTTTTTCTAAAACTGGCCCAGATTTACACAGATCCGAACATAATACTAAACAATAATAACCAAATAATCAAATGGCTTTATCTATATATGAACCAGATTACCAAATTTCGGAACTATCAGTGTGATTTACTTGGCTGTGGATTACTTACACACACCTACACAAACATTACCTTTTATTGATATAAATTAGTGGTAAAAATATAATGGTATATTCAACAATAATGTACATCCGGAGTATGGCGTATTAATGGAAACGATGATTTGTTAGAATTAATTAGCCTAATCCTGTAAAATTCATAAATAATATGAACTTAAAAGTAAATACGGAGAAAAATAATTATTATTACTAAACTCATTCCAGTGACCAAAATCAATTCTTCTGCAACCCCCACGGTATACAATGGCGATACGTGATATTCCTGCCATAGGGGAACCGGTTTCAATAGCAGAGTGATACGGGGGGAGGGGATACGCACTTTTTTTCTGAAACATTTATCCAGTTATTCTAATGGGTATAAAACTACGTGTTTAAGTGTAGGTCTCTACTTCTTATAAATTCAAATAATTTAAGAAATAATTATCGTTTTATTAGTATTTAAAATCATTGGTTTTACAAAGCAGTGTAAACTGCTTAGAAAATTTAACAATAAAGCAAATATCTATACCTATACTCTATAGTATATGGTAAATAGTATAAAACAAAAAAATACAAAATAAATTAAAAATTACACGACATAAATTGTATATAATAGAACAAATATTTGTCACCATCTAGTGAAAAATATTTACATCATCTATTTTGAGTAGGTAGTTAAAAAACGAATAGGTACCTACCTATATTTATAGATATTTACCCTATAAATACTAAAAATATTACCCACGGTTCGTCTATAGTCTATATAGTAGACCAAGGCTAAAATTGTATATTAACTTGTAGGTAAAAAATAAGCAAAAATCCTCAATTCCTAACTAAGTGCAATTACAATAATTTTCCGACGATTGGGTTTTACTATTTTTTCGATCAAAACGATTATTATGTTTAGTCCGTTTTCTTCAACAGTTTGAGTGTTGCTGTTTTCCCCCATTTAATTTGTGATAAACTCGTTTACGACTTGTTAAAAAAAGACCCTAACAATATTGTTGTACTTATTTAGATTATTCTGAACCTTGGCTGACTATAAGATTAAACAAAGAGTAAAGATAAAATGATTTAAATACAGCGTAAATATTTTAACATTAATTGCGCTCGAATCTTACATTTCTAAATAAGGTTTTTGCTGTTAATTATTTTTTTTCAATGAGAGTGTTTATCTTGCGTTTCAGCGTGAATGACAAACTAATAAGATTATCATTTTTTGCATCACAACAATCGTAATAGTATGTCTCCGAATCAAGGACGAATATTTTTCCTAAATCTCGAGACTAAAAAAAATGGACCTACATAATGTGATGTGTAGTTTCTTTATATAATATAATAGTTTATATTTGATGTGTAGCAATAAAATAATAATACAACATAAGTGATGAGTAATAACAAACATTTTTATTCATTTCAGGTGTGATTTATTTACAGACAAAATTAAAAATGATATGGCGATGCACTTGCGTTTAGGATATGTTACCGGAAAAGTGAACAATTTAAGCATTAACGAAATATTATATGCAAACCACCTGATGATTTTACGCTAAGTAGTCACTAATTCTTATGTTTCAATTTTTAATGTGGGTAAACCTATTGAATCCAAGTATACACATATCGGTATTGTTTGGCCTGAATTTATTATTATTGTTATGTTCGTAATGCATAGTAATTGCCACATAAATACTTAATAATAGGTATAATGTATATACCTAAAATGCCTATGTTCTTATATGTTGGAATATGAAAAATTAATCAATTTATATACGACCAAAGCAACGAGCTTATGCCACAATACATAAAAAAGTAGGTATCGTTTTTCTTTTTATAAATTTCCGTGTGCATTTAAAACAAACTCGCCATGCAGTGCCTTGTCAGATGTTATTTTTCCACACTTCTTTATGTCACCTACTCACCTCCGTACCCTATGTCCATATCTCTGTTTTTTTTTTGTACAATAATATGCTTTTGGGTACAACTGATTTATGTGTTATAACCGATTTTTGCAAGGCCAATTTTCTCAAGTCAAATTTTCGTAACTCTGAAGCAAATTTGTGCATTGCCATAGAAACTCAAATCAACCATACAAATTAAACAAAACATTATTAAATTAAATTCCAAACAAAATGTAGCATGGTACTAGGTATTTGTCCACTGCACTAAACCCAAAAACGTATCTATATGATTCCTCAATTTTTCTTGTAGAGGAGTGTTTTCCAACCGGTGGTCGGCCGTGGGTTAGTCATAGGTGGTTCGCGGTACCATAGATTTGTTCTATTATTAACTTTATTCCTAGATAGCGAAAAACATTAAGACTTATTGAGGAACAGCATTATACTTGTTAATGAGCAAAAAAAAAATAGGTGTTCCTAGTTTTCATAAAATTGAGGTGGTCCGCGACCTATAAAATATTGTCGAAGTGGTCCGTGATGGTAAATGGTTGGGAAACACTGTTTTAGAGGAAACACTTTTAGTAGCATGTTTTTTTTATACGACTTATTATTATTACCTGTGTCGATATTGGTAAACTATTGGATGCTATATCTTTGAAATAATTACTCATCGGTATTAGGTATATTAGGACCATAGGAACTGTTTGTGTGTTGCACATCCAAATTGTACGACTCCTAAGGATTTTAGTGATGGTACCCACACATTAACTTAGCGGGGAATATTGTATAAACGGGGCGTAATGCGTTATTCACTTTTCTGGCTGTAAAGCGTGTACAAAAATATAATTGAAACTAAAATAGTCTTGTGCTACCAGCATATTTTGACGTATCACCTGCAAGAAGCTGAAATGTTTCGAGAAACGTCTAGAATGGAGTTATGTTCCACTCTAACGCGTTGACGGCATGGTTTGAAATATGTATATATTATATTCAAATAATTTTAAATTGTATTTTTTATTCATATATTTTTGAAATCGTGGTTGACGGTAACTTATCAACCATATACTACGCATCGTTTATCTCTGAGTAACTTAGATACTTGAAAGCGATAGCCGCGTGCGAGTGGGAGAAGAAAAAAAAAGAGTTTTCCGGACGATATAAATATTCTAGCAGTGACTGCGTGCGTAATATAATAATATATACAACGCTTGTCTCATCCGTATGCGTGTATCACAATATTATACACACACAAGTGACAAGATCCCTCCATACTATATACGTCTCGCTCTTGCCCACTCACCCGATGGGTGTGTTCGGCTTCAGGAAAATATTACGTCGTCGACCCTCGTTAATTCGAGCACGCGGACGGCACACTCTCGTGTCGGCTAAAAGTCCGTTGTAGTTTGCACGCACGCACGAGGCGAAGCTGTCCATTAAACATTCAAAAGATGTCAAGTGCCAGTTTCCGTTCAGACACACACACACACACACACACACACACACACACACACGATATACATAATATAATATTATACACATATATGTTTGGTTGTATGTGTGTTGTTTTATGCGAGAGTATTATATACGATATGTGTATATACATATATAATAATATGTACAACACGCTATTCGCACCACGCGTGACGGTTTCACGCGCTCAAAACATCTGTCTCCCCGAAAGTTACTTAAATATATGGGGGTCTTATTCAAATCGCTCGCTCACTGAGGGCAAGTGTAACGGACTGAGAGCGACTTTATATGCTCATGCAGCGGCGGTATCCCAATGAATATTATATAATATTAGTAAATTCCCCTATCTACCCACATACCTACACCTACTTATACCTGAAGATCCACGTATACGTCCACTTTTCAGCCACTTGGTGCCATGGATCCAAACGTATAGTATTCTAGGCATACAAGACATTTACTCCACCCCCTATGGCAATTAACATCGAGTACCTGTTAAAGCGAGTGAACGCTCCACCAAATAGAGTATATTTGCGTAACTCTCTACTGAGGTAGAAATATTTACCACAGAGCGAGAGACGACCAAGAGTACTTTAAACATTTTCAAGCATATTAAAAAAAATTAAAGTGCTTATTAATTATAATTTCAATGAAAATTTTGGCGACAAAATATAATTGTTTGGTAAATATTTTTGATTTAGTATAAGGATAATTTCTTTCTCCTATAGATTATTGAATCAATTTTTAGTTTATAATACTATACTCGAGGGTAAAATAACTATGATGAGCATAACTAGGTATACAACTTTGACAGTATTAAATATGTGTCTTCGGAAATAAATGCATAATATTATTTAGACATCTTCAATCAACTTGTACCGATATTGTATTTGAAGTTTTTTTTTTTATTACTAATGAATAGTATTTCGATATAATTTTTATAATATTAAACACTTTCGGAAACAACCAGGAACATCGCACACCACTCCATGAGCTTCTAAAATCCCATTAGCACTGGTGTGCAGACACGTTTCGTTTTTCTCTCTTTTCGATATGGTTTTTCGACTAAATGCTGGGTATAATTATAAACTACATCTATGTCGTTGACCATATGATAATTAATAGTAATTTTGAATAAAGGTAGCCAGATTAAATTTTAAATTTTTGTACTTAAAATAACAGCTTACTTCTGCTTATTTCAAACAAACCGGCAGAATATAATATTACACCTATAGATGTGTGCAGGGGCACTCTGAGATTCTTACAGGATGATTGAAGTCGAAACGTCCAAAGTCTCGATATAGTTTTGTCACTGCGTAAAGCCAAAAACCATATCGTTCTATAGACAATATATTTTGACAGAACCATACCTAAATATTGAACTCACACTGTGTAGGTACACTTAATACAAATTTCCCGATCGTCGCTCACTGCAAAGTCCCACCTTGCAACATCGACACACCCGCCCGGCAGAAGAGTAAACTCGGTAAAGGAAGCTTACTCCCCCATCACGCACACGTAACATACGCGACGGTGTTTATGTGCCGGTCCAAGATTGAATTCCATAAAAAAACGAGCGACGCCGTAAAAATATGACGCTTTGTATAATACAATAATATTATAAGCGCTTTTCCCCGCTTTTCCATTTTTTTTTCATCTCGTCCGTGCGGTATGGACACGGCTCGAATATCGCACTCGCGGGGACGTTTTACGAGCCCATACGCGTAAATATATTATTATATTATTTACACCGTCGACCGTGTACGACGCGTCATCGCCTCCTATTTTTTGTTTTTATCGCGATTTTTTTCGCCGATTTCCCCTACGCCCCGCGCCCACTGCGTCGTAATAATATTATAACCGATCCCCCGACGACCGTTCGTCCGCCGGTGAATTTATACGGCGCGCCGCGGATTCCGTGACAACGGCTGCAACGACGAATTTATAAGGCACGGCGCGGATTTCGCGACGACACAGGAACGCCTTTGGTACACTTCCCCGCGGACGGGTGCAGCCCCACCCACCCTCGCAGTGATTATTTTAGTACCGGGCCGGGCGGCGCGAGCGGTCGAAATAGCATCAGACTGCAGTCGGCCGCGACAGCTTGCATAACATATAGTGCGTAGACTTCTCAGCGCTGTCCGACAGCACAGCTTTACCATATTAAGTCTTAACAACGCATATTATCACGTTCATGTCGTCGTCCGGCGGCAAGAACAGTGAGGAAGACGCCGCCGCGCCGCCGTATGCGGTGGTCGAGTCGTCGGAACTGGGACGGCACTGGGTGGCCGCCCGGGACATCGCGGCCGGCGAGGTACTGCTCGAGGAACAGCCGTTGGTCGTTGGCCCCAAAGCCAGCTCGCCGCCTGTCTGCCTGACGTGTTATGCGCCCACTGCAGGTTACAGGTGTTCGACTTGCGGATGGCCGATGTGCGGGCCGCGGTGCGAAACATCGCCCGTACACCGTGACGCCGAATGTCCACTGATTGGCGGCCACTTCGATAGCCGCCGATCGGCCGCGTACTGCTTCTTGATGCCGCTCCGTTGCATGCTGTTGCTTCACCAGCTGGACGGCCGCCGGGCTGCAGAGTTCCGGTCTCTACAGTCGCACCTGGACGACAGGCTGGACACGCCGCTGTACCGTGCGTATGCGGTCAACGTGGCCGCGTTCGTGCTGGACCGGTTGGGCCTGCGGTCGGCGGGCTACAGTCACGATCACCGGTCAGCTCTTGAGGCGGCCGCCGTGCTGGACACCAACGCCTTCGAAGTACGTCGGCCCGGCGGCCGCAAGTTCCGCGCCGTCTACTCTCTCGCGTCAATGATGGCCCACTGCTGCACGCCGAACACCAAACACGTGTTCACCGGAGACGAGGTCGACGGCCAGCCGTCCATTCGAGTGGTGGCAGTGGTGCCCATAACCCGCGGCTGTCCCGTCACCGCTACGTACACGCAGACGCTGTGGTGCACGCGTGACCGTCGCCGGCACCTGTCGGCCGCAAAATGTTTCGAGTGCGAGTGTGCTCGTTGCGCTGACCCCGCGGAACTGGGTACTCATCTGGGCTCGGCGGCCTGCGATGGCGGGGGCGGTGGCCGGTGTCCGGGTGGTCGGGCCACGGCCGTCGGCCGGTGGCTGTGCTCCACTTGCGGCCGACTCGCTATCGACGTCGAAGCGGCCCATGCGCTACAGGCTGTCGGAGCGCTTTCCAAGACGCGCGACTGCGCAGGATTCGAACGGTTCCTGGAACGGGTCCGCGACGGAACGATTCCGCCGCTGCACGCCGACCATCACGTCACGGTGAGCGTCAAGTACGCGCTAACCCAACTGTACGCCGACCGGATTTCGGGTAAGCAGCTGTGTGATAGTATACTCAAGTACTCAACACGTTTCCGACGTTACTTTAGTTCCAGTCTGCAACTTATTTTAGTGTACCTATACTGTGTTCGGTTGATTAAATGCAGTAGAACCCAAGAAAAGCTGTAGGATAAGTAATACATTATATAGTTTTTTATCTTTAAGAAAAAAACCGAAACCAATAATTTTAAATTTTAAAATATAACTGTAAACAACATACATTCTAAAAAAAACAAGAGAAGGGTAACTTACACATTTCGAGTTTATAAAAACATTATAAAAACTTTTAAAAATCTGATATAGTTACAGTTACTGCACAATTATATCTGTATGTTTTCCGTAACTTTCGGCCCGGTTTACATTTAATGTGAACATTAAAGTTCTGCAAACCAATAGAAAAAAATGAAAATTCAAGAATGTTCACCTATTAGATTAGATATATCATATAAAGTACGTATACCTACATCGATTTGTTTGCCAATTATAGAAATTGTTATTAGAAACAAAAGTCACCCACTAAAAGGACCAACTTATTATCCCCAACATACGATTAACAAATAATATGATATTTCGGCTTTTCATGAGGATGACGTCGAGTCCTCTCACTGTATATTATTATTGTTTATTGTTAATATTTATTGTTACACTGAGATAATGACTGACAGTGTATTAATCATTATACAGTCATATCAAAGACGATTTTTGTATCATCACCGTTTTGTGCAGATCTGTCAGCAAAACAACTGGAAAACAATACGGACATATGTGAACAACTGTTGCGGTTGGCCGACGTCCTGGAACCAGGAATCACGCGATTCCGGGGCCTACTGCTCTACTACTTGGTCCGAGGTCTCAGACAGCTAAAGCGGATGAAACACAAACGGGTCGGTTTTTTATCACATCTTATCAATCATGTGTAAATGTATAAATACATTATGATATTAATCAACATCCACAATGAAATGCGCGAGTTCGTGGGTCCCAGAATCAGTAAATTGTGTTCCCAAAATTAGGTAGCACGAAATATTTCTGTTCAGTGACCTCGGATTGAATCTCCGGAGAAGCTAGGAAATACTTCACATTGACACACATTTTTTGACGATTTCTGAATTAGCAGCCCCTTCATTGTGCTAGTGTGCAATGCAACTTGCGTTTTTCTAAGTCGACGCTAATTGTCAACACCATATTTGGATAGACTAAATTTGTTTTAAGTCAATTTGATTTCTTAACTATCTTGGTGGAAAACCAAAATCATCTGAATTACATAGATTTAAACTTTAAAGGTTTAGTTCATACTAATAAATTGTTTCATTTTATAACTTATGATTTTCTTATGTCCGTGCCATTTTACATATTCTTAAACAGACTTTAATCCATTATAACTTAATCAATTTTGAATTTAGTTGCCGTTTAAGAAAAGCAAAATGTACCGTGCATGTGCACAATGAAAGGACATAGCATTTAAAAATCGTCAAAAGTGGTGAATACTTCAATATTTTCTTAGCTCTTTGCAATATCACCGGATATTAATATTTCATGTTACCTTTAAAAATAAATAGTACAAATAATCATAATTTTTTTTATTACTATAATTATAATTATCATCATCGTAATTATTATTATTATACTGTAGAACTACGACGAGATGATCAAGAATTACACAGGAGAAGCGGTCGTCATTTTGAAAACCGAACCCGATCTGGTGTATTTGGTCGAACAGTTACAATGACCACACAAGATGTACATAATTCGGTCACCGCCAAATGTATATTATGTCGTACAGTAATAGTAGTGTTCTGTTTTTGTTATAACTTATAATGTATAGTTCTTTTTTTGTTTTTGATATTGTGGCGATAATAAACCGAGAGCTCAACGTTGAACCGTTCGTACATACTCCCATTATATAATATGTATTTATTGGGATCGTAACTCATTTTACGAGTTTATAATCCCCGTTTCCACAGTATACGACGTAATATTGTAATCGATATAATGTTATGTAATGTTTGAGGATAAAATATTACAAAAAAAAAGTAAAAGTGAAATGTCTGTTAGGAAATATGGAACAACCCGAATAACCATCAAATATTAAACAAGTTAGAATAATATTTTTAACAGCAGTATAACTATATTAATATGAAAAGGTGAAAAGGTTATAACTTATACCTAATTAATATTGTCATAACTAAACCGCATAAGAGCAAAGTAATATATAGTGTAAAAACAATGTGTTGGTAATTTTCACAGTTTCATGTTTATTATGTTTGGTTTACCATAAAGTTCTCCAACCACTGTTGAGGTTACCAGTAAAAAATATATTTTTTAAAAGAACAATTATTTCAACACACATTATTGGTTAAAAAGTAAAATATTTTTAATTAACTCGACGGACAATGAAAATATATACTATTTGTAACGGCTTTTATGTTGACGTTTTTCGACACTATTATTTTAAATTGTGAGGAGAAGAATAAAGTGTAACACAGCTATAAGAGATATGTCTATAAACTGTATAAACTATAGTAGAAAGGCTAAATCTTAAAAAGGCAAATTGCATACTTATTTGTTAATTCTCAATGAGAGAATAACCGGTTATTTTTACGAACATTGAATATCAAATACAGAACAAATGAATAGTTTTCATTGATACTGGAGAGAAGGTGCATTGTTAGTATTTTGTTTAATCATTAAAATTAAATTACGAATTTTTCACGACTGATGAGACGAAGTGTTGATAATCGGACACTAAAAAGGTTTTAAGGGTAAGTTCAGATCGTTATTTCAACCGTTGTTGACACAATATCAACATTTTATAAATTACATTCACTAACCCAATATAATTTCGTAAAATAGGTTTTCAATTAAGTATATTTATACGTGTGCAATAAAATATTCATTGTTGTGTTTATTTAAAGACCGAATTCGCTCGCCGAGTGAAAAACAGCCAAGATCGCATCGTTTAATGAACACTTGCCAACTATATAATACAAAAGTACAACGCATGTATTGATTTTGCAGCATTAAGAACGTTTTTAATAAAACCGTCTTCAAATATAACACTATTAGCGCACAGCACCTTCTGAAATGAATATATTAATATACATAGGTATATGTGTACAGCGGATATTATGTAAAACCCTATGGTTAAAGGGTCAACAGCTTACAAATTGTATAGAATACGATATTTAAATAATATTATATTATAACTGATTCGTATCCAAAACACGGATTAGGTATGTAGGCAGGTGGTGCGACGAATACCTGCGCACAATGATTTAAATTAATTCGAATATAGTTTCTCCTGAACAATACGGTTAGAACATTATCATATATATATATATATTTAAGATCTATACAAACATATTTTAAAATATAAATAAAATATTATAGGTAGATATATAATTATGTACAGTCTATTTTTGATGATATCGTTTCATATGAAATTAAATTAATCTAAAGAATATTAACTAGTCTACAATACTATATTATACTATGTAAAATTATTATCTTCTACAGTTTTGCACATTTTAATAAAGTATATAATCATTGTAATAGTGGTGTGACAAATATTGGTTTTTGAGTACTACCGAACCCAAAACCGCAGACGTTCAATGTCTTATTTAAATCCGAACCATTCAAATTTGAAACAATTGTAGTTTGGTCGATTAAGGTGCTATAGACTATAGGTAAAATGGTCTAATATATTAAATGTAATATGTATTTGTATTTATTTCACTTAACTAAGAACATTTGATTTGGTCGAATATTAATACAATTATAATATGTTACCTATCAAAATAATAAAAACATGTATCATAATATATTACAGTAATACTTTTTTTTATGACAACGTGCGAACAGACGATAAAATAAAATGATTGATTATTCTCTATAATAATATTGGCATAGCATGTACCTTTACAATGATAATTATTATTATATAATCAGTAGATACTTAAAAATCGTAAATTCGACTCGATGTGGTGAAGTTATTGATTCGAAATGGCCTCGTAATCGATTTCACAACGGTCAAAATTGATCATAGCGCTGAAATAACAATATTTTAATATTTTATCATATTATCGTATTTAGTATTGTAGTTATTATACGTCGAAAGCGAAGAAAAAAGCCAAAGTTGACGCGATGCCGTCGTAACATGCAAACGAAGGTTTTATTTTTTCAATATTTCGGTCGACGCTTTAGAAAACACGTAGTACGTATTACGAAACTTTTTTTACGATTCGGCGCCGTCGTCGTGGGAGAGGAAGACTAAAGAGTGAAATTTCGGGTAAGTATAGGGGGAAGTGTTTCGATATAGCGTTTCCGCTAGAAAAACATCACTCAACGCACATGTTTATGAGTGCATTTCGTGTAAACTCGGTGTCGTTATGATATATACGCCGTACATCACGGATGTATAATATAATGTTAGGGTGACCAATGACCATGTTTATATAAAAAAAAACGATACAAACAATTTCGGCTTAGCCCCGAAAAAGAAAAAAATCTCTAAAAATTGCTTAATTCATTTGGCATTTAAAGACATATTTTGAAGGTAACGGCTGATGCGTGCCTCTTAAAACTGTACAAATATTATTTTTATCAAAACTTTTGATCTTACCCAACCGTCCTAATCTATACATATATACATAGTTAGACAAGATTTATGCATACCTACGACTTTGTTATTATTACTGTCTGCTAAATTATCTGTCGCCGTCCAACGGCTAATATCACAACATAAAAAAGCAATTTGGTTAAATTATAATATTCATAGATATCAAAGAATTTCGCTATAAAATGTTATCAGTAAAAAAAATGTTACAAATGGCAATTAAATGTGTACATCATGATTCATCTGGCTGATTCTCACCAGTCCATTGATAATGCATTTATTCGATTTATGATTTTAGTATCTATTTAGTACGCATAGTTAACTTAATAAGGATCTTATTTTCAATGCTTGGATTTTTATACCACTTAACAATTATCTTACGGTGTCAATTCTGACTTATTTTTTTAAAATGACAGCTCCACTTTTTTACATTAACTTATTAAACAGATGTTTGAAAATGCATATAGATATATAATATATATTTAACATTTATTTGGAATATACAATTATTACAATCTACTACTTATAAAGATTTATTTACAATAAGCATAATATAATAATAATATTATTTGAAGTAGTCAGTTTATGATTAAAGGAATTACGCCAAGCACTTATACTTTGGAGGTGATACATAAAAATATTTATTTATTCTATTTGTTCATTTGTTTATTTTAAAATGATTATTTTTCATCTTTTATTCATATTTATGTTAGTCTCTACATCAATTTCTCTTTAGCTTTCTTATATTGATATTATCGGAGTCATGGGAATTGTAAAATACGAATCAAAATTTGAACGAATAAAAGTTTCTATGTTATTAAAATGTATATTATAAAAAATATAATAATTTTTAATGATAATATAGATTTACAGCAAATAAAAAAAATTATATTATACTTATTAAATAAATAAAAATAACTACTAAAATAAAAACTATATTACAAATTATAAAAACCATATATTTTTATAACTTTATAATATTGTTTTCCAATCATTGTAGCTTCTGTTTATTTTCAAAATCTAGGTCATATAGAACAATAATACTATCCATAGTGGGTACACTGAGTACTACTCGTTCAAATTTTCATTTAGATACATCAACATTTTTCAAATGATTCATCTGGTTCGTAATTATTTAAAGTGAAAAAGGGTGGTTGTTATGTGTCTCGTCACACGACACTACTAAAATAGTATCTAAAATAGAGATAATTGATGATAGGGTCTTTATTGAGTACTAATTTTTATTTTTACTGATATTATAGGCAGGTGGGGGGTACTTAATACTCGAAAAATCAAAATTTGCACACAACTATGATTTTAGGAAAAATCGGGAAGAGTGCTCGCTGAGTTGTTCCGAGTAAATAATTAATATAATAAACAACAATATTATACGCGGGTGGATTTTCGCGGGCAACTAATAAACGGTTATTAATATTAAGCTGTCGGCGCGGTACAAGGACGTGTGGTAACGTCGATCGCTGTAATATTATTATATAGTAGCGATGTACGACTATAATATGATACACAGGTACAATTATTATTATTATTATAATTATTATTACAGTTAAGTTTAACAATATCATAATAAATTGTTGTTGAAATAAGACGCCACCGGAAAGTCGACTGCGGACGTGGAGGCGGTGGTGGGTTTGCCGAATTCCGTCCAGCGACTGACCGCGGTCGGCGGCTGATGGTATCCCATGGAGGCGGCGGAAGTTGCGGCGGCGGCGGTGGCGGTTGGCGGCTGTGTCGGCGGTAGAGGCGGTGGCAGGGTGGGCGGCATACGTAGTTTGGTCGGGTTAGCCGCAAATTCGTTGTGAGCGCCGTAAGCCACAGCGGCGGCTGCCGGGTGGAATCTATATAATAATAACATTATAATACACGTTCGGAGCAAAACCATCAGAAAACACCAACACGTCGAACGTATTTCAAAAACACCGTAATAAATAATTATTTCGATATCGATTTAGCCATATTAATTGTATTTATATCGACTACTCGCGTATTTATATACAGGGTGATTCACCTCGAGCACTCTCGCCGACCTTTTTTTCTCACTTTATAACGAGTTTATTCAAATTCCGAATTTTCAAATTTTTAAGTAAACTTATACGACTTATTTTACATCATTCACTACGGAGTGCCCTGAGACTGAACAATTTTTTTTCAAATCAGAAATGACCTTCTTCACTGTACATTATTAATTTGACGGTTTTTTTGAAAATGTTGATGCATCTAAATCAAAATTGGAACTAGTACCTAGTTTCTGAGTCATTAATAATATGAACAGAATATTGAGGATGATAGTTTTTATAAATAAAGTTTTACAAAAATATGAAACAAAATGTCATATTAGGTGCAGAGCGTATCACTAGGATATTTTTTACAAGTTATAAAATGTTGATGAGGACTTATATAATCACTCAAGTTTTCTAATCACTATTTACTTTGTAGTAAATATGTATATAGCACCTATATCGTTCAAACCCACAATAATATACATATACGGCTATATATTATCCTAATGCTGTACAAAGTTAAGTAACTCAAAAACTACTAGATAGAATTTAGAATTAGATACATCGACATTTTCAAAAAATACATTGCGTTATAATAATTTACCAAAAAAAGGGTGATTCTTGTGTGAAAAAAAGAAATCAGCTTCGCAACAGGACTCTCTTAGTATTAAAAATCCAAATGGTATTTGAAAACATCGCCCGCATGTAAGTTCATCAAAAAATTAGGAGTCAATTCGGAATTTGAATCATTGTATTAGTCGAGAAAAAAATAATCAGCATGTTTGGTAAATCACTCAGTATAATATACTATACAGGTAATTTCTGCTGCACCTACTCCTTCCCACCCGCCTGAAAAGTTTTTGCGATTCAAAAATCATTCAGGTTTATGCACTCGTATGCAGTTCGTAGATCGAAATAAGTAAAAACGAAGAGAATAACTATTGCAGTCATCGAAACAAAAAGGAAGTGTTTATACTATAATACCATATTCTCTGTATGTATGTTATTTTGATTTGAAAAATTTTAATTTTGGATTCATATTAACGAGTTTTCTATGTGTTTTCAATGTTATTTATTATTTCACAATTTTTAATTAAATAAGATTATTTTCAAGTATGGCCAAGTGAAACTATTTTTCACTAATAACCTTTTTTAATGACACAACGTCATAACTTATCCAGCAAAAATATGATGATTGAAAATGAATTATTCATCCATACCATTTCCAGATTATGAATAACGACTAATCACACACATTTTCATTTACTTGCCCTAACAGTTTTCTTAAACTATTATCGTATAAAACATGATCAAATGCAATCCTCATAACCTGACCTATGAATGTAGATGAATGTTGTGATAACCTATATACGATCAGGATAAAAGGTTTTACATTATGATGACTGATACGTTGTATAGAGGGAACTGACATTGATAAATTATTATTTTAAACTTAGTTATTTTACACATTTAGTGATATAAATTAGTACTACAACTATCGTCTATTAAAATAAACAAATGTTTAATCAAGGTTTTATCAAAACATTTTTTTATTATGCTTTAATAGTTTATGAACTTTGTCTTTGTGAGTTTTTATTTCGACTATTATAATTTACCGATTTTTCACTGCACATAATTTTCCGAACGTCACTCTATCGTAACAAGAATCATAACTCATAATAGTGTTCATGGGGAACATTATTAGAACACTGTACGTCAGTTACGCCCTCGACGAGTCACCTTAGCACACATTGGATTTTTTTTTTTAACGAAGTTTTGATAATCATAATTTTCTCAAAATTCAGTTACTACTGAAACAACAAGAGAATAGCAGCATTTTATGGAAATACGTTTTCATTCGAGATATTTCTGAGGTGGTGAGGTGGGAGGGTTTGTGGCCTCTTACTCACACCCGCTGTGTGCGGCAGTGTCATCCGCAGAACTCGACATACGATTTTAAGCACACATATAATATTAAACGTGTGACCTAGGCGGATAATCGTTGTTATTAGTGTTCGTATAAGACCCGGGGAAAGTATGGCCATAGTATACTTACATATTGTCCTCGAGCACTGTCAAAAACAAACTTCAAGTACAGCTTTATACTTAAACTTAAATGTTATGTTACACAATTATTACTCTATATGTAGTTACCTTCCACACAATCCCTTACCTTTATAATAGTATTGCAAACATTCAATAATATTTTTTTTAAACCACCCAACCGCCTATCTTGAAATTATTTTAAAATCTTAACGAAAATATGCATCTACCATAAAATAATGTATACGTTTATAATAGATACTTTTACTTAGATAAAACAGTGACAATATTAATTTATTTTGAGAATTACGAACATTATATTGAAATATATTAAAACCAAAACACATTGCGATCATAATTCAATTAAGCTTTTAATTCATAAAATACCTATGCATTGAGTTATATAAATTATAAATTTCTAACATGGAAAAACAATAGCATACGCCCATTCAATTTCGTTTTAAACAGCATGGTATCAGACTATCAGAGCATTTATTATAATAATATCATCTGCGTATATTATGTTTAGTAATTGAAATGTTTGCTCCATCAATGGTTTTAGAGAATATGTCATTATAATAATTTTTTATTATCATGGTATCACATAATTGTTTTCAAATTTGATGAAAAATGTATAAACACAGCATATTTTTGAAAAATTCTCTAGTAAGGGTTTTGATAGTAGTTATAAAAATTTTCTAACATGTCTCCGTACTGGTGAGCAGCGTTGGTCCTTGCGGTTTGCTGGTATTCATCCCACGCAGACCCGTCATAATAACCGTTGTACTGAACGCCAGGTTGAAGTCTCCAATCGGCTGTGCCTGGAAAACAAAAAATAATCGTCAAAATTAAACAGTTCATCGCTTAAATCGACAAACGTATAATAATATATTTTGATTATAATGGTTTTGTTTTGCCGTTTTGGGACGTCGAGTCAATTAATCGAGTCACGAAATCCACCAAAATCGCACCGCGTGGCGCTATCTGTACGCCTAAAAATCGCAGACACGAACTGACATAGAACATCACCAGGTTGCGTTGTAAGTACACGATGAAGTTTGTATTAAAAAAAAATAGTCAGTAACTACAACCTACATCCCTAACTTAATGTTATTATTATTTATAATATTATTATTTTGCCCACTAGAGGGTAGAAGACTACGAGTTAAAAAATACGATACATGCAAATCAGTGTAGTATAAAAATACACTATGATGATAAGCCGGTGATTAAAGACTATGAGGACTATAATATTATTTTATATTCTTTATTTAAAATGTATGAACTGAATTTAATATAAGGAAGTTGGATTTGTCATTATACTTAAACCTATGAATTAAACGAGTTAATATTAGAATTTTGTAATTAAAAATCATACTACTAGAGATTACTAATTAAACTACTTTTTGACATACCTACAATCAAATTGTATTTAATAAATTATCAATACTAGTTAGGTATTACATTATCCTAATCCTTACGTGTAGATAATTTTACGAAATGTATCATTTTAAAGTGCAGGCTGAAATACATCGTAAAAACAAATGTATAATGAAGTTATATTATGTTGTGTGGTATACCTATTGTACCTAATGTAAGAATAATATTATGATTACAGTAGAGCCTCGATAGTCCGGACCCCCGTTAATCCGGTGAACGCGGTAATCTGGACGACAAAATTCCATTTGTTCGTAAATAGATTTTACGAGAATTCCCGCAACCCAATTAATCTATAAGATATTGTTATCGACAAATACAATTTCGTCATTTTTATTACCTACTGTTCCTAGTAAAGACTAATACATACACACATATGTACATAGGTACATAATAAAGCGATACCCGATAGTCAATAAATATAAAGATGGTGAAATTAAAGTTAAATCTTAGTCATTTGAGTAGGTAATTTTGAAAAACCTCCGGTAATCCGGAAAATCGATAATCCGGACGATGCTCAGTCTGAGTATTATTCGTCCGGACTATCGAGGCTCTACTGTATAATAAAATTGAACAATATAATGGTACTATATACTATATATTATGGTACTATAATGGTATTGTTAAATTTTAATGGCATGTTACTCTACATAATGAGTACCTAAGTACAGTGGTCGAAATGGCTCAAGATAAGTGGAGGGATGCCTTACAATTCAGATTTCCTGATATCATCATAACATTCTTCATACCTTGTATAGTATTTTTTTTTATAGTTCACATTTTGTTTATAATATTTTTCTGTGGACATTTTAGATTATATAGTTAAATTTGTAAATTGTAATTAATACTAACAATATAATATGTAATATAACAAAATATATTAGTATTTATTATTATTATTATAAAAGGCGCTACCATACGAAACCCTACGAAACTACCTATACGAAAAATAAAAAGTTTTCTTATACATAGGTATAAATATAAAAATCGTAATAATTATTTCATTTTAAAACACAAGTCTTAGGAGGAATGCGTTATTCCAGACAAAATAAGTAGAGGGATGAAAAATGTAAATACAAAAAAGTAGAGGGATGTCATCCCTCCGTATCCCCCCCCCCCACTTCGACCACTCCCTAGGTACCTACACACTTGCAGGTAAATATAAATATTTTATTTTTATGTACTTATAGGTTAGCTATATGTATACCAACCACCAGGTATCACTGTATCAGCTGTATATAAATATATTACATTGAAATATATTTTACGGGGACAATTTTTTTCAGATTGCATTTACTAAATTTTCTCGAAGATAATACTGTTCTTAACGGTTTTTTTTATACTAAAATTCTCTCCAGGGAATACCATTTTTTATATATTTTTAATTTTAGACTTATGACTCAACAGTAAATCTAGTTCTGCAACAATATTGCTTTAATATTTAACATTATGTGCTGGTAACTAGTAAGGGAAAAATATTATGTCAAAACACAAAATCATAAATACCGATTGTCTATGTATTCATAAAAATTAATAATTTTGAACGTGTCTTATAGGTATCAAATGTTCAATAATATTATGATACGTGAATTTCTAGTAAAAAGAAAAAATAATTAATATTTATTAAACATACCTACTTAGTACTTAGTAGTATGTTTTGGTTTGGATAAACGATGATTATTAAAATCCAATTAAAACATACTTTGAAGATAGTAAGTAATCAGTATGTAAATAACAATGTTATCATAAAATCAATAGTGAAATACAATAATATTTTACCTATACGGAAATACCTGCGGCTGCCGGCTACTTATGGGTGGTTGATAATTATATTATAATAGGTACATATATTACGAACTGATCGAGTGACATACATTGGAAGTCAATAAATCAATATTATTAAATATTGACAGAAAGCAATATTTAATCCCCTGTAAATTAGATGACCTCACAAAATGTTAAAAATTTGGTTTAGTAAATGATGCATTGATGTATTTCATAATTTGGTTTGAAGCAATATACACGAACATACTTATATACGTTAATGTATTCATAATTTAATCGACATGAAAAAATATTTTTTTTTAAAATTAAATATGCTTATAATTCATAGGTTAAAAGTTAAAAATAAAAATATTCGAATATTGATTTTGTTACAATATTCAACAAAAGCAAATAAAAAATTATCATAAAAGTATATCATTTTAAAATAAAAAGTATCAACCATATTAAATAAATAAAACGATAAATGTGTAGGTGCCTACTATATATAGGGCTACATCCACAGTACCTATATGATTGATATATTAATATAATCATGTATACTGTTGTATTTGCATCAATATTTACAATAACTAACAATTATATACCTGTACTTTAAAAATTTAGGTTCAATAATTAGCAAAAACATTAGGGGTATTTCATGCCCTACAAATCATGTAAATATGTGTATAGGTATATTTACGTAATAAAACAATGAAAGTGCTTTTTAAATAGTACGCAAATGAATAATTAAACTCGTGTTCTGGTCGGAAAAATTGGTCTCAACTGTGTTGATGTACTAAAAATTATTTTTTTTATTTTTTTATTTTCTAAAAGAAGTATACAATTTACAGTGGGGTTGAAATAATTGCTAGAAGAAGCCACTCGTAGTGACACTTCCTGTTGTTTTTTTTTTTTAATAGTTTATTAAACTAATTATTTTAATTTATTAAGAGGTCTCTGCATCATTTCCCAGGCGTGAAGCAGCCTCATTTCATAATAAAATTTCGACTTTATCCTCTATCATGATACCTATATTTTACAATTGTACGGCCGTCAAACTCGTCTGAGGCTAAATATTACTAGCCTCTCGGCACTCTTCGGCTTTCGTAGAGATAGTTCTATCGTTTCACGAACATCTTCTCCGTGATTTTTGATAACAGTGATGTTTTATGTACTATGATGTATTATACAAGACAAAATGAATTTGTTTTGTTATTATAATAATAAAAAGCTTTTGTATTTTAAAATGTATATTATATTATTGACTATAATATTCTTAAAGTCGATAGGAAATAACTATAATTATAGTACATACTACATATACCTCCTTTTTCTTTACAATAGTTAAGTGGGACTGAGCCTCCCTTATCTCCCCTGATGAGCCGTCTCTGCCATTTCCTTTTTAAGTGACGTGGATGATTACCAGGAATTTCATTCGATTTTTTGGTGGAGATCAGTGTGCAGTATGTGATTTGATATGTATGGAGGATAGTAATTTTTCTTAAAGTACCTTAATATTTTTGACGTCGGTATTTTTTTATGATTGGATATTTTGACATTGCCTCACAGTTGAAGACCATATAGGTGCGTATATCGGGTTTAATACGGATTTGTACATGAGCAGTTTAATGTTTAAGATGGTGTATTTAAGACAAGGAGTGTTTTAAGCATGCACACTGCACAGCCTAGAATTTAGTTGCGGTCTTTTATTATTAATATGGTGTGCCCAGGTCAGACGGCGGTCGAGTATTAGTCCGAGATATTTAACCGTAGGAGATGAAGAAACTTGGATGTCTACAAATTATTAAATAAGGATTTTCAAATGCTCTACATTATAAGCCCACATTTATTTACATTTATAGTAATAAGTTGTATGATAAGTTATTAAAATGTACTCACAAGATTTTTCCCACCAAAATAATAGGCATATATTATGTTATGAATTTAGAATTAGTAATTTTTTTTAAATACTGCTTATTCAAAACAATCGAATTATTATTCAAGAATACTCTTATTAACAATTTAAGCGTTTATAGCAAATATATGTGAGCGTATTATTAACACTTTTCGGTGAAAAAGTTTCAAATATTATGCAAAACACAATTTTAACTTTAAACTCTATGTAATGGAAGCAATTTTATATATCACTATATCGCATTAAACTATACAGCATAAAAATATGCTAATTTCCAGAAGTACCTAATTTCACCAATAATATTATATACAGCAAATATAAATCTAGGAAATGTCTTCAAATTAAAAAAGTTTATAAAAAAACACATAATGATGCCATATAAAATAATGTTTTTGAAATGTCTACATTAAGTGTTAGAATTTATTCTCACACCAAAACAATAAAAGTACCTATCATTAATAAATCATTGTTCGAAAGACGAACGGTAGGTACCTGCATGACATTTCAGTAGGTAATCTGCCATCATCTAGACAACGTCATCGTACCTACCTTTCTTAATGATCCAAGAGTTAATACATTCTACAGCGATATCTATTTTTTTTAATTTATTAGACGTCGTCGGTGTTCAAAACATATATGCAAATTGTAAAACTGTAATGTAATATCGAAATTACCAGTGTAGGAAGGTGTGTTTAGGTTCTCAGAAAAATTGCTGCTGATTATGTTGTGCTGTACGTTGGAACTATTCTGTTTCCTCCACCTCGCTCTCCGATTGCTGAACCACACCTTAAACAAATTTAAAGGTCTTTTTAATATTCCGAGAACAGAAGACGTTTATAATTTTTAGTGAATTCGAAATAAAATAGTTAAAATTTGATTATCCAACCGAAGCAATAACAATATAGTTACGCTCAGTATTTTCGATATTAACGTCAATCATTCATACGTATAAGTGATTACGTCATATTATTACGTTATAAACGAACCATCACACGTACAAGTATTTAATATAATATAATCTGAGTAGGTATGTATAACACCTTTTCTAACAAAAATCTGGAAAATTATAGTTCATATAAACTCTATGTTCACTCTCTGGCTATAAAAGTCACGTTGTGTACAAAATATTATGTTCAGCTGTATAAAATATGTAGCGATCGGGTGACGATTTTATATTATGTATTTTTTAACTGTCCCAATATAAAATTTTTACGATAGAACTGACATGACGTTACGTGCCTATTTAACAATCGCTTTATCGTTTATGTACAACTGGCCCGAGTAAGACACATTATTATAATATACATTCGAAGTGGTCTTAAACCGCATTCGTCATTAGTTATTGAACATTTGACCCATTTTAGTAAGTATTAGATTTATTTTTTGACACACAAAAAGAAAGTTGATAACTGATAAGTAAGAACCCACAAATGTTTTTTTTAAATTATTTTTATTTAGTATTATTTGTATTATATTTATATCATAATATTTGTTTCATATACATTGAATAAAATATATATTTAATTTTAATTGTAACTATGTACAGCAAGTAGACCACGTTATAGTCGGACTTATATGGGACCAACTGGGGGTGTTCTGATATATTATAAATATTTAATTATTATAAATTTATCTGCCCCAACTGTTAAAGACCTGCACTCATATTAGTGATAGACAATGATGTGCATATATTATTACTGTTGTTCTATACAATTTTATGGAGTATATAATATAACTATATATAAGTGTATAAGAATAAAGGATATCTATTTATTACTTGAACTCGAGGTTCCGGAAGTCCGAATTTTGCGGCGAGGGTTTCCCGGGCTGCTATGTCCGGATACTGGCAAGCCAAAAACGACCTTTCCAAACCTTCTAGTTGTTGGGCCGTAAAAGCGGTCCTTCCTCTTCTCTGTTTTCTGGATATGACTATTCCCGGTTCCGACGGCACATCCACGTCTCCAGTTCTTCCTGTAAGACGATCAACCAGCGTGTTTAATTTATTGTTATTAAATAGTAAGCGCCTAAAGTCCGGTATAAGTATCTACATATATAAAATATACTCAATAATATATTTCCTCCTATTTTATTAAGTATTGTTGCGTGGTCAATGAAGAACATCATCAATGATACACAAACGTACACAATATTATATTATTAATGTATTCCTATTTATAATTTATACACAAGGCAAAAATGCAAAATACAATATGTGTCACACTGTCACCGCAACTGTGAGCATTATGACCACGGGTATAAACCGAATAAACAGGAATAACTATAACTTTAATATTAAATTATTTTTATTAGTCACTTCGTAAACTGAAATAACTGTGTGTATATTATATTAAGGTACCTACTAATGATAAACATTTTAGTCATACAATTATACAATTTTCTTATAAAATACTTCATAAAGGGTACATCATGCATGATAATATTTGGTTAAGAAGTTTATGTGGGAAATTTTATAAAGAAGATTCAAGCGTTATAAAATATATTCTTTAATATTTGTATTTCAATTAAACAACACCGAGACATCCTTTTCAACCATGAAGAACATCCAACCTGCCATCAATGTAACCTACCACTGACAATTGAACATCTCACACTCAGCTGCACCAAGTACAACAATGAACGAAGCATCTTAAACTTCCCCTCCAACATCGAAGAAGCACTTGGGGAAACCAACACCGATGCCATCTTCAACTTTTTTAATGCCATCAAAGTATCCAACCTATTATAAAAATCTGCAAATACTACTGTTTTACCTATTTATTTAACATTACTATTTTATTTTATTTATCTACTTATTTTGTTTAATTCTCATGTTACTATGTACATAAGACTTTTTCAATATTTCTAATCTTTAATCTACCATTGTAAACCTTTTCAGGCTAATGATGACCTCTGATGTCGAAGCCTTATTCTTAATAAAAAAAAAAACACCGAGACACCAAAAATATTGATCAAATCAATTTAAAAAAATAAAAAAGTTTTTTAATTTATTTAAATGGCCGTATTATTATCATAGGTATGCACATTCATATGAATTAATGGTTATGTTCTTTCCACGTCGAGACGTATATCATGTAATATTAAAGTAAGTTTTTAATAAAATATTGTTGACTCTTTTCCATTTTCCAGCTATACACATAATATATTACAGTATATCATACACATCAATACAACAATATAATAATAATATGATGCACGCACATCATACACCTATATATGCGTATTTGCCTACAGCATGCGGACATCGAACGGGCATTGAATACGTCTAAATATTATGATCCGGACGCACGGTATGTGCAAATATTTATCTCCGTTACACGATTTATTATAAATAATATTATTATACTTGCAGGGTATGTCGTAAGCCCTTAAGTAAACATATCCGCGAGAAAACCTATTTATCATGCGCGTACACACGAACCGCGCGTATTATTATTATTATTTTTTTTTTTCGTAAATCTTAGTTTTTTTGCATTATCGTCACCAGGAAGACGAAAGATAAATCGGAACAAACAACGAGCATAGTGTATCTATGCTGTACGCGATGTTTCATTATTCTCGACTACCGACGCCCGGCCGTGTACATATTATTGCGAGGGGGAGGACGGCGGCGGCGGATCGGACCGTGTGAATTCGACCGCTCGCCAACAGGTTGCACCTACATAATATATATAGGTACACGGTACGCGTATATGTATAATACGGGTAATGGTGTAACACATTATTATTATTATTACTATTATAGACGTCCGTCGTGCCAGCCGGTGGTCCTTTTCGACTCCGTTGATGTTTCGTATAATATAATGCACGTGAATGATATTACATATTCAACGCGAATATTATACATTATATTATTATTATTATTATTTGTACAATACTCGGTGCACTCGGATCACAGCTCATTGAAGAACGTCTATAGACTATAATAATAATATGTGTCATATTATACAAGCAATGAATGAATATTATTATATTCGATGTCTGCGTCGCTTAGTACAGTGCGGGTAATACGCTATAGGTATATACCAAGGTATACATACTATATACCTGAGACGTAAACCCGTGTACTACTGCGGTAGTCGGCAGCGGCGGAGTACCTATATATGGGTGATTTCACCCACCGGTAAATATTAATATAATAGTATTTCCATTGTACCGCAGACGGAGCGACTGCACCGAGAATAGACATACTACACAAAGCGCGATTTATTGGAAAGAAATAAAAAAATAAAAACATTACTATTATCCCTTTTTAGAAAGGGAAAAAAAATCAAAAAATCAGGAAACGTCCGACTTTCGCCGGTACTGTTAGTATAGTATAGGTACGAGCAGTATAATAATACCAGCTATATAATATATGATTATTGTGCAAGTCTTAAGCAAACGATGTTTATTTTCGCTTTGTGTGTGCGAGAAACGATAAAAGAAAACAAAAAAAAATAAAGTTGACGGTTACACGCATGTATTGCTATATTTTATGTTTACACACCGCCCCGACAGTTGTTCAAAAATAATAGAGATAATCCTTCTGCGGTGTGGTTGGTCGTATAATTCGTGATAAATTGTGTACACATGTTATGGTTTTATTATATTTTACATTTCTGCAATTTAATTTACCGAAAACCTTCACGCGTCAATACGGATTTCCTTTCGAGACTAATAAATTGCAGTGCAGGTATTGTTGGCAATTTAATATGTAAGTATTGTACATTTGTACTTAACTCGGTGTTTACCGAACTCGGTTTGTTTGTACATGGTATTATAATATTATATAATATGTTTATATATGTATTTTAGTCAAATAACAATTTAATATTGTACAGAGTTGGGCAAAAATACTATAATAATATGATTCACAAATGATTAAACAGCTTATAATATAAAGATTATACATTAAATTTTATAATTTAAAATTGGTGAATTTCATTAATTTCTGCAATATTAATTGAATTCGTCAATAATAAAAGATTATATTTCTGATTTATTATATTATTGATTTAAAAATAAATATGAGTTTAATGTATGAAAAAAGAAACTATAGATTTAGTCATTTAGACTGATCATTGTCAAAAATTAAAAATTAGTTTAGGTATATTTTTATCAATTATTATTATATAATAAATTAAGAAATATGATCATAATATGACATTGACCTACATTACAAAATTAAATAAATGTGTATTTTTACACATAAGAATGCAAATACAAATATTTCTACTCTTGGTACAAAAAAAAAGAAACAATATCTTGTTTGGAAACAGTATTTTTATTTTACAGCCGAAAATATACAACGTGGGTGTTGATAATGTTATGATTTAAAGTGTAAATTTTGAAAAAAAAAATTTTTATACAATTTAGTATAATAATTATTGTTGACACGATGTGGTAGTTTTTCAAAAAAAAATTGTTAGTATTTGAACAAAAAATGGCCTATTCAAATTTATTTAGAAAAAAACAAAAAAAAATTATAACTATTGCCGTAAAAAAATGCCAAATGCCTAGAGTCGACTGGTAATAGTTAACCTAATAACTACAAAAAAACAAAAACACCAGGCAAAACACAAAAAGCTTTATATAGGGGATTGACACGGGATGGCGAGGTGGGTTGGTTTATACTCAATATGGCTACTGCAGGTCACCTCCATACTCGTCACCAAGCCCCATCCCGCGGACGGAAGAGTGCGATCGCCGGCGCGTTGGTTCTCAGAGACGATCATCTAGACGACCGGTTTGGGTCCGACCACAACGGCCGCTCAAGCGACTGCACGATTAGCGGCCGGGTGACTAGCGGCGCGATGTTTTGCGCTCGACGATTGGCAGGTACTGAGGACGACTGTAGCGGCGTCGACAGAGGAGACAAAAGCACTGGGCGAGGGAATACAGCTGTGATTGCCACGGAATTGATGGCCACCGGAGGCCTGTGGAACCACCACCGTGCAAAAAGAGGAGAGCATCTGAGGACCTCCTGATATTCCCGTGATTTTTGCCCTGGAGTCCCGTCGGCCGAGTCTACGTCCGGTGGCCGTCCGGAAGTCTCGCGCCGCCATACCAAGAAACTCTAATCAAATTTCCGCTGGCTCGCCGATGCTGCGACTTCCAACTCCTAGCATAGCTCTAACACTCACCCATCGTGCATTAAAGTCTCCACGGCCCTCGGCACAACTCGCCTTCGTGCACGTTCTGCCATCGCCGAAGTACCGTCGGTGCCCACTCCGGAACAACTAGTCGTTGTATAAATATATTTATTTTACCCGGTCGTGAGTTTCTTTTTTTCGTTTATCTGTACGCGTTTTGTAATAGAAAAAATACTTCGGTGTTCAATTATATTGGTGATTTCTGACAGCATTTTTAGTTACTTGGTACTTTTGAGTGGTGAATATATTCTCCTGTTTTTTTCGAAACTGTCTTTTGTCTATCATCTGCAGTCAGAACTCGGAAAAGGTCAATAATTTAGTGTTTTAATAATATTATTCTGTATATTTAAAGTATCATATTTTATAAATCTAAGAAATGAAACCTAGGTTTCCCAATAATTTTTTTTCCAAAAAGTTTAAGAAATTAAAGTTTGGTTCCTTTTTGTAGCAACCAACAATATAATATTGCTACGAACGCCCAAGGCTGACCAAAACAATACACCAATAATAGTATGATAACTATTATGCGTATCATAATAACAATTATAAAAATGTTATTTAGCAAAACTAAAATAATAAATTGAGTAAGTACTATGACAATAGGTATATAATAAAATATATTATATAGTAAATATTTATAGGTATAAAATGTTTGCAGCTCTCCTGTTTGGTGTTATGTATAAGTTTGAATTAAGTGCAATACGAAGTAGGTTTACAATACTAAAGTCTTAATCTGAGCAATATTTATTTAAAAAAAAAAATAAAAATCTGTAACAAACGAAAATATCATCAAGACAATCATGTATAATGAATAAATTCTATCTTTCATATTTTTATTTTTACATCAAGTAGGTTTATTTTTAAAAAATCTATTTTTTCAAGAAATTATTATTTAAATAAATATATATTATTGTTAAAATAATTTCAAATATCGATACAGTAAATAACCTTCATACTTGCGTAGACGCCTATATATGAGGAGCTATTAAGTCGAAGCTGTTTATATTAAAATAATATTTAGTCACACAAATATTGATATTTTCTTTATTTCGAGTAGGTACTTATTATTAAATTTATTTATTTACTTATTATTACTTATTATTTACCTATTATTTTAGTTCACATTAAAATATTCAACTCGGCTTCAACCATGCTTAAACCAGTTATATTAAGCTGTGTGATAAATTAATTACATGGTTAACTGAGTCATCCGTTTGTGGTAGTTCCTACTGTTGCATTCTGTAGATATAAGCATATTATAATAATACATGATTTATTTTCAATTGTCTTGTAGGTAGGGAGATAAGTAGGTTATGAGTTATAACTTATGACTTATACACATAGGTTTAATAGGTATAAGGGTTTTTTAGGTCCCTGTTATTCGTTCATTGTACACCACCCCTGGTAACAAATAGGTCATAGAAGAAAAATACGTTTAGGTTAGGTTCAACGATTACCAATAAAGCCCGATGGGAATGAGCAGAAAAACACAATAATTATTTTTTTCATATTATATCAAGTGCAAGTGTAACATATAATATGGCTACATCT